TATACAAGTGTTGGCACGCTTACGCTTGGATTAAAGTATTCTTTGTGGACAATATATTCCCCTTCTCTTAAGATGATTTGCTTCTTCCCATTGAACGAGTCGTTAAAGAGTCTGATATTGATTGGTGTTTTGAACCAGTTCATTTGATAAATAATTGACCAGTCAATCATGTCTGAGAAGACGCTGATTTGATGACCACTGAATGATAAGAATGTTTCTAGATTCCTCTTCTTTGAATGGGATATCGAGCTTTGTAAGAAGATATACGGGGAATGTGATTTGAATCATTGCAAGAACAATTTCGTTGACATCCTCTTCCATTTGTTTCGTGTAAATCATTTTTTCGTCGTGTTGACGTTTGATTTCTTTGTACTTTTCATACAAAGTGCCCAACAACAATTCTAGTTCTTGATTCATTTCTTCATATGAATTGTTTTGTTTGATTGCTCCTGTGATGATTTCTAGCCCATGCATGACAAATGAATTTCCTGTAACTCTTTGTGGGATTTTCTCGAAATAATCTATGAAATGGATTTCTTCACTCGTTCTAAAGACCTTGAACACCCTCTTCTTGGTTTCTATCGTTGAAATCCCGTTTTTCTTTGGATTGATTTGCCAATATGAGTCACTGTTGTTTAGCATTATGTTTCGGTAATATCTAATGAGCTGGACTTGGTTGTTTGATGATCCGATGAAATTCAACATCTGTTTTATAAGATTACATCCCACTTTTCATTAAAAATACTAAAATGGAATACGTAGAAATATTCTAATAAATTCCCGGTTGTTTCCTTTGATAAAAATGTCATGGAGTCTTTGTTTTATTTGTGAAGTGAAGTGAATTGAATAATTGGTAATCAGTAAATTATTTAACACAACTTCCATGCATTTCAAAGTTTTGCACATTTCATTGAACTTCTTTCCTTCTTCAAAGATCTTTTCCTGAGATATGATGTTCCCATTGCAAGTGACGCTAGTGATTCGTTGTTTTTTCCCATGTACACTCTTTTTTGTTGTGAACGTGTATCTGTCTTTTACTAAGGTTTCGCACATGGTATCAATTCCTTGGATATATGCTTCTTGGTTTTTAGCTCGTTTTGCGTTTTTATCATCCGTATATTCCGGCTTAATTGATTTAATTTCATTGTTGTCGATCTTTAGAACGTGTAATGTGATGCTCCGATCTTCGATCTTATACCGGTATCGTCGCACCGTCACTTCGTGGCCTTCTTTAATCAATGTACAAATTAAATACGACTGCTGGTAATCGTAAAATTCCTTTGTTTCCTTTCGAGATCGTCTTAATATCTCAATTCGATGTGTATCCATTTGATTTATGAGTTGGATCTCAATCGCAAAAAAATACCCTATAAATACAACGATCCAATTGAAATGAACAGGTTTAATGGTAAGCGCTTGGATGCGGATATAAAGGTATTGAATCAGAAACTTTGATTTTTAATTTTGGTACAAGAAATACAGACAAATAAAAGTAAGAATTGGTATGACTTAAATATCGATTAAATCAAAGAGTTCGGAGAAACTGATGATATCATTTCTAACAGAATCGAGTGATTTTGCAAGTTGTTCAATACTTTTGAGGATAACTAGTCTTTTTCTTCGTAAGAGAACGATTTTTTCATTCTCGTTGTCATGTTTTGGCTTCTTCTCTGTGTTTTCCTTGTTTTGTTTCTTCTTCTTGTCTCTTCTTTCCTGTTGGCTGGACGTCAACTGAGTTGCAATGAATGATTCCGATTCAGAGTCTGACTTGTTGTCTTTCTTGACTGGGACTTCTTCCCATTCATCACTGTCAACTGTAATTGTTGATTGGTCATCATCCTTTCCACTGTTCCCATTGCTCCCTTTTTTGATACTCATTATGTGACTGATTTTCGAGATTGCGGGATTGTTTAAGTTGCTATTTTCACTTCTTTCAACCTGGAAAATATAGTACTTTCTACTTCATGAATGGTTTGTTCCATTTTGATGCGCCTATAAATATCCCGATTGGTATTTGTCCGTGGGGATACTACTGAAAAATGTACAATATCGAGTATTTTGTTATTCGTTTTGTTGTTTGTTTTTTGAAAAATGAAGGGATTGATACAGGAAATTCAAAAAGTGAGTGTTGATTAGGAAGGAATCCCATTTTGTAATGGAAATAAGATGTATTTTAATTCATTTCTTTGTTTTGTGACCTGTTTTAGAAAGTGAATACCATTTATTGATAACATTTTTAATCATAATAACTTCGAGTACTCTGGATTCTATTTATACTTTGTAAACCTTTTAAGCATTTTAAACAACCCATAACACATTTGAGGGGAAATTGATCCATACTTTTTGGAAAGGTTCCCAATATTAGGTAAATCCTCTATGGACCCCTAAGATCCCCTAAGGGATATCTGGACTTTATTTAGGTATTTTCCCGATTTTCACGGCATTTAGTATAAAAACGGGAAAACATCGAATAATAAGGGAATATTCCCTTATGGGCCCTCAGGGGTCGAAAGGGGGTCTTTGTAATATTAGCAACAAACCCCGATTGTATAGAGAAAAAGAACCCAACTTTCTTAGGGGACAAGTAAATGGACTAAAAACTTTGTTGTTTATTTTTAGTTTTATTTTAGATTTATCATTTGTTTCAGTATCGAATACAATACTTCCATAAAATTGAGGAATCCAATCATCACACCGGAGTTATCTTTCTAGTTCAGCCAATCGGATGCAGTTCTTGTCTCTTGGAATTATCCACTAGTGGAACAAGTATGGTTCATTTACTACAAAGTACTAGAATGCCTCAATTCGTATCGCCCACTTATTCATCCAAAACAGCCAATCAAACACTCGGGATTCCCGTGGAATCATTCTAATCCACTCCAAGTATAGCTTATTTACTAGAAACTACTAGAGTGCCTCTTATCGCAATCATCACACTAGCGTCGATCTCAATAATTCCGCAGTTCGCGGACTACTTATTCAGATCTCGAATCTCAGTCGCAGCAGATGAGCAAAGCAATCTCGGTCGGCACCAGCAGAAGCACACAAAGAGAAGAAAGCAGAGGCAGCAGAGAAATCAGAGGAAGAAGCCAAAGCAGAGGAATCAACGGGAGAGAAGAGCATCATCTCATTGATGATGAAGATTATGTCCTTTATTATGATCTAGTCGCAAGAAGAAATTTTAATGCTGATAATGATAATGATAACGACGACTTTAACCCTGATTAATTCTCGTATGAATCCAACGACTCGAATGTCGAGTATCAGGAGCTAGACGATCATCATGGGATGGAGCTTGTGACGTTCACAAGGAAAGACGGGACTACCTATGAAGCTTGGATTTAATTAATTCCCACTTTTATTTTTTATTTAAACAATCATTTGTAACTTCTTGCAAATATACACTAATAGTTCGATATACTAGTCATTTAACACGAATAAATAATAGGGAATTGTATTAAGTTGAATTGTTCTAATAATTCCCTCCTTTTTTCCTATTTGGTATAGTTTCATTTACCACAGTTGCATCGAATTGAATTTTCACGCTTATTTCTCGATCATAAAATCAGATACAGTTGTTGTCACTTAGAATTATCCCAGAATGGAATACACCCCAGTGCCAACAGTTATCATCGACAAGAACTACACCGTAATCACAATCAATAAAAACAAAATGACTATTAAATCCCCAATTGTGTTTGTGTCAGAAAACAATTCGTTCGAACCAAAAATCGTCATATGGATCAAGGAAAGCATAAACAAAATCTTTCTGAAAGCGAGACATGAAACGAAGGAAATATATTTAAAATTTGTCTGTATTTGCGAGGAACGAAAGGCATTTCTGAATCGCATTTGGAAATATAAGCACGGGAATATCATTGATATCCTTGGTGTGTATGATACAAACCACTACTCTGGTAACAATCTTGTTGCAGAAGCAAACTATGGGATAGCAATGGAATGTGGCACACCACTCCGTTGTATTTTAGAAGGGAAGAAATACATCAGAGATATAATCTGTGGAATCATGTTTCTTCATGAGCAAGGAATTGTTCACATGGACATCAAGCCCGACAATGTTGTTGTTGTGAATGGGATTGCTAAGATCATAGACTTTGAGCTTGCACGCGCACTTGGGAAGAATGAACACTTCAATAGCATTAGCTGCACAAGAAGATACCTTCCCGAATCAAAAACACAGCGAGGAATGTGTTATGGGTCTGACATCTGTTGTCTTGGATACACAATCCTTGAATTGTTCAAGTCTGGGTACAATTTAGACTTACAGGATTTACTTGTGAATGAAAACATACAACACAAAGGATTTCTCTTAAAAATGACACGCGACGACTGCGAAAAGCGACCATCTATCAGAGAAGTATACAACTACTTTAACTTGGTTTCTTTTTAACGTGAAAAAACAATTGAAAATCAATCATCTAACTTTGCAATAATATCATTTATTTCACCGTCATCAATTTTTTGGTCTTCTTCCATTTCACCCATTTCAAGTATTACATTTGACGTGTCGATATCAGATTCAACTTTTACTATATTGATGACAAGCCCATCTTTTATTTTAAAGGCAATCCTACTGAAGACTAATTTAGTTGCTTCCAAAACAGACATCTTTGCAGCAATATGTTTTGCATGTGTTTCATCATCTGCAGTGTATTGCGCAGTTCCTATAGATTTAAATGAAATGAGGATATCCTTATTCATCACCATAAAAGTATAACAGACAAGAGATTCGTATGTTACTGTGTACTTAATTTCTCTGTTGATTTTACACGTCTCTGTTCCTATTAATTTCACATCCACAATTTCATTTGTCCATGAACTAAATCCCAAATACGTGTTACATACTTCGTATATCTTATCTCTCCGCAATATGCGATTGAACTGTTTACTTATTTTTGAATAGCTTATTTTCCATTTTTCCCCGTTGTGCGTATACTGAGACTTCATTTCTCTTCGACACCTGTTAAAATCGGATCTTAGATAAAACCAGATCCGGTATAACCCCACACATTTAGTGATGAATCCATACTTGTATAAAGCTCCAAATCTCGAGAATACACTATAAAAATCCGATTCATTCCCAACTCCGCTAATTAAGACGGTGTTGTTTATGTTTGGGATCTTGAACGAAAGGAATTCAGTCATATTTTCAAGTTCATTGAGATAGTACAAGTGCATATTCGTGGTTCAATTGTCTGAGAGTGTATGTCCCAAGTCCACTTCGAGAAATGTTAGATGACATCAGCACAAGAATTGTTGAGTTTTTCAAGTAGACGCGTACTGTCTTGTAGTGGTATTCAATTGGAGATGTACTGGAAACCATTTTGTTTTCTGTTCTCCCGATGAATTGATACATTTGTTTGTTTTTGTAAGATTCTGCTGGGATTACATATATGACGTTTTCTTTTTTGCAATTGAATATGCGATGAATTGGATATGAGTAGTCGATTACTGGTGCGGTGACTATGATCTGTTCCACATCAAATCCCTTGAAATAATCACGGATTCTGATACACAATGGAATTTGAGTTGGTCCTGACATCATAATGTTACAGTCGGAACGTTCAGTTGTAAAGAAATTTATTTCATTAAGAAAGCATGACTTGAGGATGTTGTTGATTTCAAAAAGACTTTGTCTATGTATTGGGTTCAGAGCATTGTAATCTCTTTTGAAGAAACAATTCATCTGCAACGAAGTGCATGAAAGGTTTCGCGTGTGAAGAATGACTCTCAATGTTGTTTTTGTGACAAGAATGATTGATTTCATATGAAACATATGGCATTGCTGAGGTCTCCTACAAGAGACATTTCTTTCAAGCGTCCCATATACTTTATCTGCTATGATTTCCGTATACACGGTATTACTATTGAGTGTTCTATTGAAGTATTGTGCATTACATTCGTATGTCATATAGATTGCTCTTGACACGGAATCAAGTCCGCAATAGATGTATGTTTGATCAATCGTACTCTTGTACTCAACCATAATGAAATAAAAGATTCAATTACCCTCGCTTTCGACGAATAAATTCA